TCATTAATGGACCCCTCCAATTTCAAAGCTTCCTCATATGTGTTTCTTCTATAAACAAGTTATTTATATGTTAATTGTTGTTTGTTATTTGTACAATTTACTCATCATATATGTATATATATTCAAAAACACCGTATATTTATTTTTGTATTAAATTATTTTATTTAATTAAAATGGTTTTATATTTTATTAATTAAATATTAATTATACATTAAAAATAATACGATTTCTTAATTTTTTTTAAAAAAGGGCATCATAATTTGTTAAAGATAACATCCAAAATATATAATTTATAACTTATGGTGTAAAAAGATAGAAAACAATTTATTAAATTGAATTGATTTTTATATATATTTCTTTCATATAGTTAATACATTGTTAGATCCATTTCCTACTAAATGAAATATTTGTTTATATATATGTAGATAGATAGATATATAGCTATAATTGAGAATGAATATATAATCCTCGGAACCAATAATACCATCCAAATTAATTAGCTTCGGCTATTCTCATTAATTAATGAATTAGCATATTACGTTTCTCAATCACCAATCAAATATAGTATTGCAATTTGAAAGAACATATTGGATTTTATATAGACAAAGAAAACTATTGGTCAGTTCAGGACAAGCATTGCTACATAGGTAGGCCTAGACTTTGACAGGCATTATTGGTTCAGAAACTGTTGCTTTTGCTGCATCTTACAATATATAATCTGGGGACATGCTTATTAATGCACATATTATATGTATAAACTAAAGTTGTTTCTCTTGAACTTTTTTAGTTAATTGAATATGTGAGACTCACCCAATAAATATTTCAGCTTTCCCACTCACAAACTTTGGTTAATGCTGCCTTAATTTGCTGTCTGAACAACGACGAATCTAGCTGACACAACACACCCAATCACAACTTTACAATTAAGCTTTTCTGGTTTATAATTACCCTTTATCTTATATGCTAATTTAAATAATACCCACATTACACTTTTTGTATATGCATACAAAAAAGAGAGGGGGGGAAAAAAAAAGGAGAGGAAAAGAAAAGAAAATAGGGGGAATAGATAATAGATTCTTGTTTATAAACTTTGGGGGAGGAAAATCTTGGGTCACTGAAAAAATTTATGATTAGTTTCAATGTTATCTTTGAAATACGAAGGTAGTAACTATGGACCTATATATATATATATATATGCTGCATGTGTTTTTTCCTCTCTACTTCAAGGCTAGAATTTAATCCTTACAACATTCATTCCTGGGATTTTCCTATGTAAGACTAATTTATAGGTTATGACTAATTTTTTACTTCAACTAAAATTTCCATTCTTCTGTTAAAATTCTTAACCATTGGATCTAAAGGAAGAATAAACTATTCTCCACCTTTATTTTGTATATAGAAAGTCTAAACATAACATCACAAAAATACTCTTGTTTCTTAACATTTTCTAGCCGTTCACAATGCCTCTTATAATGAAAATTTCTAAAAAGAAATTGATGGGAAGATTTTACCAAAGTTACATCAAATAAATGGTGGCATTTGGATTAAATTTGGTGTAAATTAGCTTTCGTTAAACATAATACTTGCACTTTTATGACCAAAACGCCAGTTGACACCAACTCACTGCTGGTGACTCCACTTTTTGTTCTAAGTTGATAGAAAGATAAAATATAAAAATTGTGCTCATAAATTACAAAAAAATAAAAAATAAACAAATTGGAGAAGCCAAGTGACTATTACTTTTAAGTACTAGTCAGCTATATATACTAATCTGTCTTTACAATTAGAAAATATATATATATATATATATATACATTTACTATTATTTATCATCACTCAACTTCGACAAGATACTTTTGCCAAATACTGCTCATACAACAAGTTCCTATCAAAGGCAAGAATCGCAGAGTTCATAATTGAAAGAAAAAATATGGCCTTGCCACCAGAAACACAGCTGTTCCAACTTACACACCTAACTAGGGTTGAATCCTGTTATAGCATAATGCAATCTGAGTCTCTATTCCTCGCCTACCTTATTATGGTCATACTTTATGCTGATATGTCAGATCAGGTACTCGTATCATCGTCGGATGGAGATTAATCCAGAGAAAACTTGAATAATCACCTATTAGTATAATGTTCAGAATTTCTATCTGCCTAAAGGCTTAAAATTCGGACAGCAGGAATCAGAAGATGCAACTGAATGATGATGCACAACGGCAGGATAATGGAAGAAGCAACCACAATTCAATTGGACTTTCATTTCAATATTACCATCATCCTTGGAGCTGGTACCGGATGTACCTCGAGGAAAGAGGAAATTTACAATTTAATTGGACTTCATTTCAATATCCTCCTCCTCCTTGGAGCTGGTATCAGTAGTACCTTGAGAAAGGAGTCCAAGAAGGGGCAAAGGCAATAATGAACTGAGATTGCAGAGAATTATCAAAAGGGCCAAGTTATCAAAACTGTCCTTTGTGACATGAAAGAGTTGGGTCAAACCTGCCCCTATCAGTCCCCCAACAACACTCCCTCCATTTGAAATTGACATAAGGGTTGCAAAAAGAGTTGCTTCCATTCCCTCTGGACATAGTCTTGCTGCTAACACAAGAACTGGCATAAAAGAAGCCTGCAAAATAATAATTTTTCCTTAAAACCATAGCCATGAATTTAAAAGTAGAGTGAAAGCATCAACTGAATTATTAAGTGAAATATAATCACTCAGCAAAAAGCTATTGTCTATGTCAAAGAATAGATGTAATTAGATTCATGTGGTAACCTTTGGTACTGAAAAGATTACAGGTCTGAACGGAAGAAATGAGTCATGTACTATGTTCGTTCACAAAAACAGGGAAACAAAATAGTACAAAGAGTCCCATTTTATGGAGGAAAAAAAAAAGTTATTCTCTGAAAAACCATGAAAAAAGTTGTTTCACGGAAGGTGGTAAATGAAAATAAAATTTTGTTGTCCCCAAAATTCCAGTATCTTCTCATCCCTTTCCCACTCCAGTCCCTCTCCTTCATGCACGCCATGCAGCAAGTCAGAGGCCAGCTCTGGCAGTCCATGTTTGGCTGGCCATGCTAGGCCTGTTCGGCTGCTTGGCCAGGCTAAACTGCCACTCGGGGAACCATGCCAGGCCAACTGAACTACCACTCAGGTAGCCAAGCCAGGCCAACTGAGCTGGCCATTCAGTTAGCCCAAGCAGGATTCTAGCTTGCGACCATATTTTCTCTTTCTTTTTATGCTATATTTACATATTGTATTTTCATTAATTTCATAAGCAATCCTTAGAACTAATTTAATAATTAATCGTTAGTTAATTTCATAACTATTCATTTTAATTTTGCAGTCTAAAACTTCGGAACCTCTGTATATTTTACAATTTCATTTTAGGAGTTATGGAAAATATCTTAGCTAATAACAATAGTGAACTATGTAAAAGTAAAGTTGTTAAAAATAAATTGTAAATGTAATCTTCTGTTAATTCACAACAGAAAAAAAAAATTAAAATCAATCATTTAAGTAAAAGCAATTTAATATTGTCATGTTATGTTCTATTCTTATCCTATGCACTAAGGGCTACCATATTATTTTATGCCCTAGATTAATGATGAAAGGAAATACCAAAGCCACTTGGGATAAAAGACTCCTTAATGATCTCCTTTTTGAGAGGAAAAAAAAAAGGAGACCTTTCAGATAATTTGACTTGTAATAATTTTATTGGTGGCTCACATACATGATACCTAGTGAATTTCTCTTCTTTCTACTAAAAAGGTTCAACCATTATCCCCAACTACAACCCGGGAAAAAATTCTTCAGGAAGAAAAATAATCTTCCTTCTAAGCAAGTAACCCCAAAGCATCTCTAGCATCACCCCACCCCCCACACACGTACACTCTTTCTCCCTCATTTAAAAAAAAAATTGTTTTGAAATGTCCACATGAAACTAATACAGGTTCACATGATACCTAGTCAATTTCTCTTCTTTCTACTAAAAATGTTCAACCACCATCTCCAACTACAACCCGGAAAAAAATTCTTCAGGAAGAAAAATAATCTTCCTTCTAAGCAAGTAACACCAAAGAATCTCTAGCATCACCCCAACCCCCACATGCATACACTCTCTCTCCCTCACTTAAAAAAAAATGTTTTGAAGTGTCCACATAAAACTAGTACAGGTTTCAGCAGTGAAATTACCTGACCAAGAACTGTTAGAATCAAAGAATCGCCAATTGAAAACCATTCATCACTTATGCCTAATTTTCGGTTAAAGCCCGTGACAAGGAAAACCTACACAAAAGGCGAGAATATCAAAAACCATCCAGCACAAGTGTCAAAGCAAAATCTGGAATAACACTGCCAAAAATGCAAATTAATAAACAAACCTGGGTCATCCCGAGAGCTGTACCTAGAATAGTTGTTACCAAAAAAATTTTCCGCAATGGAACATTTTTCAGGAATCCATTATACAGTCCAACACCAAGCAATGATGCAACTGAAGTCACAAGCTTGACACGTCCTAGAAATTCTGGAGTGAAACCAAGTTTGTTCGTGCTGAAGTTGATTAAATAGATGCCAATGGATGAGAAATTTTGAAGTAGCCATGAAATGAACTACAAAAATTAAAAGGCAAAGACCCACAACCACGGATGGCACATACGTAAAATAAAACATGGCAGAGTCTGAATGTGGTGTTGCCTGCCACAGGAAAATAAATAATGTGGGAAGGAACACAGTAGGCTGCTTTACAGCACTCCACAACTGAATAACATGTTCCTTTGAGTTTTCAAGAAAGCTACGATTGGCCCAGGGAATATTCGGCCCCCTTGCACTATTAACTACACGCTGCTCTTTTACAAGAACAGCAACTGCAGATGTTATCAAAGGTAGTAGCGCCGTTACACCAAAAACAAACCTGAGACATCAAAGTTGTCCAAAAAGTTACTAGCTACAATCATCATTTCTCTCAGGAGTAGATTCATGGATAACCCACCACACATACCTCACACCATAAGAATCAACCAGAGAGCCACTAAAATAGGAGCTCACTATTCCACCAAAAGCTGATGATCCCCAACATAAAGACTGGAGAGATCCTGACATGCTCTGTGACTCGCCACGAGCTCTCTCTACAACCATTGAGTCTACAACCTACACCATGTTTCAGTTTTGGAAATTAGCTTAATAAAGTTGATACTTCAACCAACATACACAAATATATATGGAAATTGGTAACTACACTTCTCTGGAATGTCACAGGGATGTCTACCTTCTTCACCTTTTTATAACATGTAATGCTTGCAGGAGAGAATAATATAAATCTCGTCAGAAATATTTAATATATTACTAATATATATATAAGTATGTCTATTTGAGGGAAACATGAGTCTATTTTGGAGTTTACTTTACACAGTTAAGATAGAAGCTACCATAATTATGCAAAAGTGGGACAGGTATAGGAAGACAACCAGAAAGATGCTAAGAATGCAAAAGAAAACAAAATCTAATGTACACATGACAAAACCAGGTTACAAACTCGTCATTACTAAAGAGTCCATGGCCTAAAACCCAACAGAAGTCCATAAACATAAAAGTGTTCTCTATCACTTGAAAAAGCTTTCTAGTCCTCTCTTTCCAAATTATTTATAAAATATGTATGAGTAAGTTCCGTCCCATATTTCTTCCAAAATAATTTGACAGACCTTAGTCTCTGACTTCTCCAACACTAACCCAGTTATTACCAACCTAAATCCCTTGAAGCAAAGTGTTATCTGCCAAAGTTGTCCAGTCCGAGTGCACCTAGAGGTTGCTAACCACGAGAGCCATTGGTTATATGTTTATTAAGAGGCAAAGCTTACAGTAAATCCTCACAAAATGTAGCAAGCTTGGCCTGATATTGGTATGTAATTTAGTATACAACTATCAGTATTTTTGAATGATGCAATACACAGCTTATGATGCAGGTCTATGTAAGAAAAAATATAATTGTTAACAATTTAATTTATTTAACAAATACATGAAACAGTAGATACTTACAACATCAGAGAAAGCAACAGAAAGAGACCCAAGAAGTATGCAGAAGGCTGCACCATACTTGCTGTCAACAAAGGTGGCCATCAAACTCCATGAAAGTGCACCAAGAAGTCCCGATAGAACCAAGTATGATCTTCTTCGGTAACCAAAGAGTGGTACTGAATCACTGCAAGAGGAAAACAATTTCTCCATCTTAGTACAACATAGTGAGTGCTTCCAATTGCAGACAGAAAACAAAGAGAAGAGGCAATAAAAAACCAGACCTAATAAATCCATATAGAGGTTTGACAAGCCATGGTAGTGCAGAGAAACCAGATATTACAGCTGTCTAGTCAATAGGTAGAATTTGTCAGTTCTTAAAGATACTAACATAAGAGAAATGAGAAACATAAAATATGTGCAGCAAATTTTTGTCAAAAAACCATTTATAATCCATAACTGATAAACCCGTTAAATTCCATTGTACCTTAGGCAAGATTTCAAATCTAGAGAAAGCTGAATTGATGAAAGGAATTATTAACAATATAACCCCTTAAATACGTGTCAGCTCACTCAGAGATTTATCAATTGTTGTCATGAGCCGCTTTTCATGTAACCAAAAACCAATATAACTCATTATGAAACAACCATTAGAAAAGTTGATAATATTAACTCAGAGATTGAGGATTCAATTGTTGTCATGAGCAGCTTTTCAAGTAACGAAAAAACAATATAACTCATTATGAAACAACCATTAGAAATTTTGATCATATTAATCACTAAAAATGGAGATAATATTAACTCAGAGACCAATGCAGTGGCATCAAAATAAATTGTTAAAAAGAAACTTCAAATACTAAAAGGACTACCTCTGCAGGATCAAGATGCAGATCATCTTTCAAGTAAAAACTGACAGCAAGCCTTGAAAGGCCTAAAACACCTTGAACAAAATAAACCATGGCCACTGCAACATTGTCAGGGGTCAAATCAACTCCAAAAAACTTAATTTTACCACCAGGAAATCTGCTTTTCCGTGGAGCTATCTTCGTTGAAGCAGATGCTTGTCCTTCCGTATCTGTTGTCAATAGTTCCCCTTTTCCAGAACCTAAGTAAGAAAAAAGGTGAATTCGTAGATAGTGAGCTAAAGAAGCCTAAAACCATTGAACCTAAAGAATGAGAATGTTCGTAATGATTTGTTTTTCTTCCTGGTTAAGTCAGATTTAAGCTAGTTTTGAGTGTAAAGAAAAGAATAATATCTAAAAACTCCCTTATTTAATTGCATTCTCCACTTTTAATCATAGCTGTGCAGACTGTAATATCATCTTTCAACAACTTAAGCCCTCAGTTAAAAATTTTTGTTATTTATAACATCTTGCTATATGTGACAATCTTAGCGTGAGCAAAGAAAGCTGAGGAAGAGTGTTACTGCTGGCATATGGAAAGGAGATAGGATGAGAAAATGAGCCACATAAGATATAATGTATTTTTTAATTTAATCTTTATTTTTTAAAATTTTA